CCTGGCACTGCCAAAAGAAGCAGCGCGACGGTCTTTAAACTCGGGCGAAGGCGACCTGACCAACGCGGAACCGTAGAGGGCCAAGTTGGAATCAAGAATTCCAGGGAGCCTAGTGCTGGATGCCATGTTGATATCGTCCACAATATCATAAGAGTGGGGCGGGCTGGTATCTTGCGTCTCAGCGGGTAAGGGCCTACCCCTAGACTTTCTACTGGTCTTTTTGATACGAGTAAATAACCCCCGAGGGACTTGCAGTCCTCGCAGTTCCGGAATACTGTCGATGGTACCGAGTAACCTTAGGCTGTTATCGGTGTAGTAGGTGTCTGATGGCGGATCCGCGTGAGGGCACGAAGTTGCAGCCAGCGAAGGACACGTACGCAGACATATTCTGTATGACCCTCTGTAATCGGTTGCGGTAGCCGTCGCCGAGTAAGTTTGCTTGACCATGCGGTCGGGTCGCTATGTAATTTGGAATCCGTGGTCAGCGCGAGGCACAGTTCAAGAAAACGCTTGCTTCCTTACAGGAGGTGCGCCTCCATTTGGGTCTTCCTCCTCGTAATACAGAAACTCCTAGCCAAGAGTCGGCGGTGTCAGAGGCCGAATTCGAATGTATAACGTACATCCCTAGTGCGAGATTGACTCCATTTTCTACCATCGGTCCAGCGCATTATCCCCAGCCCCGTTACGTCCGTCTGAGAATTGCCCTCTATCCAGACGTAGACATCACCTGGGCGGAGAGCCTGCTTTTCGTCCACATCCAAGCGACGGGTTATGACGTTCAACCAGCCCCGATGCGCAGCATAAAGAATGATGTGCGCATCTTCGACCGACCGTATCCGAATATTGGTCAAGGTAGGTTGCTGCATAGAGGCTACAGAGGCTACAGAAGCAGACATGAGCAGCGGCGAAAGGGCGACGGTCAAGAGTCCGTTGGATGCAGCTGCTAGCCCTTTGGCTGGCCCAGTGTAGTTAAAACGTCGCGCAGCTCTTCTTTTGAGCTAGAAGCCACAGATTTCAGAAAGGGTATTTGATCCACGCATTTGACCAATCCCTCTGAGTCAATTGAACCAAGGACCTAGACCCATCTGCATCAGGGCCGAGAGACTGGCGCAAGAGTGGAGTCAATCTCAATCTTAATGAATGCTTGACCAGACTCTACGTACTCACGACGTGTATACATTCCATAACGGCGTTCCCGTCGTCAGATATACTTGCCGTGTCCGCGCTTGACAAAGCTACGACTAACTCAAGCGAAGATGGAGTCTGCAACCCAGTTCATGGCGTGGCTTCGGATTGGTGACATCTCAGAGAATGGCTGGCAGAGTGATAATAAGGCTCGGGGTCGATTGGTGACGTAGCCGAGTGGACTTATCGGTAGTTCAGCCAAGGTACACCGTCTAGGGATGTGGGGTACGCAACGTGTTCTTGGGGTGTGTTTCGAAACCCGAAACCCGAGTGTAAATAGAAGCAGCAGCTGATTAAGCAGGACTGCACCGAAAGGGTAGAAGAAAATAGCACCTGGCAGCTTCTAGAGTGCACATACATACGGTGACACGAGACGTACAACTATCAACTATCAGAGTGGTGAAACAGAGAAAAATCACGATAATTCGCTCAACTCAACACGCTAGCCGAACCTTACCGGAGTCGGTTCCCGCGTGGGTGACACGTGACACACCGGTATCTTACGGGACGCGCCGGTAACAGCGAAGGAGGCCGCCAGATATGTACTCCGATTATGAAGTGGCTGCAGAGTCGAGAACACCTACAATTCCAGTTGGTTTGGGTCCAGCGAAACTGCGCAGTTGAAAGTCGACATCACTTGCATGATCTGCGAGTACAATAGTACGTGCTGTTCACTTACAGCAGCCACTAATCGTGTTTGGGGTGATTCTGACGTCGGAAGCTCAAGGATCCACAGTTCTTGAGACGCCGTGGCACTGAGTGTCCCGTCACCGCCACAGGCGCTTCTCTATCCGAAGACTCCACAACTCCGAAGGCTCCAACAACTAAGGTGGAATTATGTAGTAGAACCGACGTTTGCCTCTTTGACTTGCATCTGGAAGCTCGTTAACGCCAACCTGCGCTCATTCAGTTGACCTTCTCGGGGATGATCTCTCCACCTCCACAACGCTACCTCTGTATTCTCGACGCGCGAATATTCAATTTGGCCTTCTTCGAACGGAGACGTTTGGGGCAGGTTGAGACCAAGTCTGCCTTGTTTTCCAACGCTTCTGTACCCGCCATCCTCGGCTGACCGAAGATCTAGTCATTCCAGCTTGAGACGTCCAGGCTCATGGAGCCTGGATTCGGGCTAGTATGTCCCATGAGCGGCTCTTTTCTCCTAGGCCGACAAGCCGTTATGGAGAACAATTTTCTGATGCTGTAAAATAGTAGTAAGCGATCAAAATACTATGTGGCCCTCTGAGCGGTCTGAATGTTACCATCTTTAGCTACCAGCATCGTCTTCGACTTCGATTGTACCTAAAATGGAGGGGTCGTCAACGTAGTCCCGGACGCGGGGATGGACACTCTGACTCGTAAGTGATTTCGGCTACGGCACGCCTAGCCCAGATGTCATTCAAACGCCCCATGAAAGGTGTAGTGGCTGCTGTATTGCCACCAAGCATCCCTCCACAGAATAGCAAGGGTGCTTCTGACTTTTTTGATTCTCCACGTGCGGGAGACCCAATCGCTCCAGGCGTCCAAAATTGCAAGCGGCTTGGGCTGCTGACGTATCTAAAGCGAGCTAAGGCGTCGTCACATTGAAGCTTCCAGGTGTCAAGGCCGCTTCTGCCGTTTTTTCGTCCATACGGCTCCAGCGATTCGCCGCTATCCCGAAATTGTGTTCAGATGCGAGTGAGAATCTGCTACCAGGGCCGCGGATGCGGGTATACTTCTGTGGTACCACACCTTTTACCCGCTACGCTGGGGGCATGTCAGTCCCGCGGTGTGAAATGCCCGCGAGGGTGGCTTATCTTGCTTGTCTGTAACGGAACAATGCTGTCAATGTCGATCAAATGAGGAATCTGGATTCTGACACCTTCACATGCAATTCAGAATACAAATGAAGGGTACGTACGAACTGCGCCCTTGTGGTAGGCTGACGAGAGCCTAGCATTGCCGGGAAATCCCACCCTCTTTGGCAACGCGCGAATTTCACGGCGACGCCAATCCGGAAGGAACCAGACGACTGACTGACCCTGTTCGTGCAGCTCGATCGGATATAGGATCGTCCTCCTTAAATGCCACCCCATGGGCTTAGCTTTCGACAATCTCGAGAGAGGTGTTTTGGCACGGTCTGCCCCAACGGGACATCAGGACATCCGCCGGTTAGGCGGCGGTCTCACGAGTATCCCTAGCGGTCCCTGGCTTAACTCTTCGGGGCTGTCGTTCTTTCCGCTGGCCTAATCTGATTTCGGACTTGAACGCCAAGTTTGGCTTCCAGTTTCACGCTCCTCCTCGCCGGCACGGTTCTATACAAGGTTAGCTACTTCTATCGTCCAGTTAAATTTTGTTTGCCACCATCATTCATCCCTGCCAACACGCAGGCTCTCGTTGATACATTGTCCGCGAGGTTTTCCCAATTGACACGTTCATGCCAGTCGGCTGGTTCATGTTCTGCTGCCCCTCCGTTCCCTCGCTCATACCTCTTAGTCCCTGGTCCCATTGAATAGCCTGAAGGCTCGAGAAGTACGACATGATCGAAGCAAGACGCACGGACAAGTACGACAGCATCAATGGGCCGGTTAGGGCGTTCTACGCAGAACTTATGGCGGCAGCAACCAGGTCGTCGGCGATAAAGTTCCTCCCGGCAGGGGCGTTCAGGTTGGGGCTTGCTTATTCTATGGATGAGGTGGTAATGTCATGACTCGTATGTGTTATTTCATCTCCGAAGATCTCCCTGAACGAAACACCTGTATATTTTTGCGCGCTGTCCATTGGTATCGCGTATCGAGCTGGAATGATGCTGCCCAGCCGCCTGCCACAGCGTCGAAAGCTCTGCTGGGAATAATCATGGTTAATTGGCCAATGTAGTGCGTCATTACCTCTGCCTGTTGAAAGTCTCTTCATGCCCATGCCCCTCGATAGTCCGGAATCGGTTGGCTTCGCAAATTCGATGAAGGCATCGATTCAAATTACGTGAATGACTATCCGAGTCGCTCTCATCCCTCGCTCTTTGAAGACTTCTATTCAGTACCTATTCCCGGTTCATACTTGCTTTCGAGGAATGTTCCGCCGCGTGTGTCGCGTGTGTCTCATCTGCGATACCTACCTCGTGGTGATCGTCCGCGATATTCCGCGTATGTGACGGAGTTTTAACGTTGCTTTACGTTCTTCTCAAACCATGGCCTGGATATTGTTTGATGATGCAACCATTAGCCACCCTGCACCCGAAGCACTGCCTTTCCAACGCGTAGAAACATGCTTCATTCCGAATGGCTCCGATTTCCCTCGGGGAACTATAAGAAAACGCGACGTGACCATCGCCATCGGGTCTAGGCGAAAGGCCGCGCAAGCACGGCAAGGCCCGCACTTTGGACAAAGTCGAGTTTTCCTGCACACCTACAGAACGGCTACAACTCAATTATATCAGATTGAACTGGTTAACCTATGGGTTACCCAGCTTTCAGCTAGCGTTCACTCACTGAATCAATTGCTTAGGTCCAAATCGAGATTTGAGGCGCACTGGTCATATCAGAGACTAATGGCTCGGTCCTCTGTGGCTTTTGACTGCCTTCGAGGTCGAAGGCAGAAATATCGTCTGGTGGTACACCGCTGGAGTCCATTTATATACATTGCTTTTGTCAACATTAACAAGGAGATTCCTAGCTTGGGACCACGTGCATGTGTGCTAAGAGATCAAAGGAGACCCCTTGGCTCAAATGATGATGCTATTTGGGACATGACGACAAATGGATCTAGCAGACCGTGCCAAAAACGGCGGGCAGAGTGCGGACACATCAGTAGGTCCAACCCTCTACCCACGGAGAAAAGAATGGACAAGCAGGGGTTCGAACCCTGGGCCTCACGCAATCAAGTTAAGATGCAAAGCGTGCGCGCTACCACTGTGCCACATGCCCTTTACAGAAATTTTGAATTTTACAGTTAAGTATATATGTCGTTACATTGGCGATTCTTCCGAAAAGTCACGGTCACCCACTACAACGCCGCTCATGGCTTGATGTTAATACTGGGTGCAGGTGTATCGGCCCTCAAATGCCTTCTCAGTATACAGGGTTCTCGTGTTGCGGGTTGGTCCACCAGCTTTCTTCTCTCAAATATTCTCAAGGGCCTCTGGTCTGATGCTTCCAGATCTCCAGTCTCATGCATGCATAAGTCGATCCAGGTCGAAAGCTGGTTTGTGGTACCCGATCTATAGTTCTATTCTGCTATATTCTGCAATGAATTTTGTTATCATTTGCTTTGGTCCCTTAGTACTGCATGCCTCCAGAACCAATGCAAGCACTAGGTCTGTGTACTAGTGGAGCAGGCAGCTTTAGATACCCTTTTGTCTGGTTGTACCGGCTGCTTGTAGACGGCATATAGGGCATGATTTTACGCCACCGGAGTTGACCCGAATTTCTCGGTTTCTCATGCTTTTTTGCTTCCGTTCCTCTGCCAAGCACTCTTCCGGTGACAGTAACGGTCTGCATCCGACGTACACCTCTGTAGCTAGACGAAGCCGTCGCATCTTCGTATTGAATGCGACTATCTTGCTTAGCATCAGGAAATCGGCCTTTAGTATCTTACCGCACTTACTCTCCTTATGACACTTATTTTGACATAACTTAATTTACTAAAATCCGTCAATGCTCCTTCAACAGTCTTTTAGCCTGTATTCTAAGTGCCTTGAGTAGATTAAGCTATGTCTACTCGGGAAAGTGACATTAATAAGCACCGTAAGCCAAATGGATGTTTCCCTGATGTAAGCTCTCAAACTCACCCCTTGACGTGCTTGATCCCGGGTTTGACGCCATTACCAGTATTAGCGCTTCCCCAAAGATAGTGCTGGCTCGACCCGGAATCTCAATGCAGTCGTGCTTCGAAGCCGACATGACGCTTCTGTGTCTTCAAAAGTGAATCTCAGGCTACGAGGGACGTTTTTCTCATCCACCATCTCGTACCTGGCCATAGTGCCTGCTCGTCACTATGGTGTCCGCATACCATGCAGTGCAGTGCGTCCTTGCCATGTTTTGGCTGCTTCCGACATGCCCACTTCTCGAGGAAGTGCAGAGTCCGACCAAGAGAGTTGCTATAATTGGTGCAGGCTCTGGAGGTGTAGGAACTCTGAAAGCGATATTCGACATCCCTGAAGATGTACGTAGAACATGGCAAATCGACCTGTTCGACCAGCGAGAGGAGGTCGGTGGCGTATGGTACGGCACGTAACTGCTTGAAACCACAGTTTAGGCACTTAAATGCTCGAATCCTTAGGCTACCCCAACCGAATCCGCCACCGCCGCCGCACTTGCCAGTTACACCGTTGTATCCAGCACTGAGGACAAACACTCCTCATCCTACGAGTACGTCAATGCATCTTCCATATGCATTCTAGCCGCCTGACAGCAGAGTCTCAGTGACTATTCCGCGTTTCCCGTTTCCCCCAATGACTGAACTGTATCCCTATCACTGGTCTCTGCAGAAGTACCACGCGGCAATTGCCTCGCACTTCAATCTAACCTCCCACATCCACCTGTCGCACGCAGTGGTCAACGCATCCTACGACCCAGAGTCGCATTGGAAACTAGAGATTCTTGCAAATAATTCCGTGCCCTTGACCAAGTACTATGACCATCTTATAGTAGCAAACGGGCACAACCGCTACCCACATATACCCTCGTGGTCAGGCGAAGGGGACTGGCTGACGGTGGGGAACGGGGAGCGACATATCTTGCATTCCCTGTGGTACCGCGAGCCTGAGAAGTACGCCAACCAAACCGTCTTTGTGCTTGGCAACGGTGCCAGTGGAAGAGACATGGTTCTGCAGGTCGTCGAACACGCTAGCAAGGTGAGAACTGCAGTGATGACCTGTTATATGTGCCGGGATTTAACCAGAGACAGGTTTATCATTCATACGACAACGACACGTCGAGAAGACCTATCGTCTTCCCCCCGATTGAGGGAGCCGAGTACAAGCCTCGCATCTCGCACTTTACCCCCTCCTCCATAGTCTTTGTCGATAACACAACCGTCGAAACCTCCGGCCCCACGACTATCCTCCTTGGGACGGGGTACGACCTACTCGTCCCCTTCCTCTCCACACTTTCTGTAGCACCAAATGTAAACTACTCTACGACATCCCTTTCCACGAACTTGCATTACATCCGCCCTCTCTGGCGCCATCTCCTAGCTCTTGACCCGTCCCTGCCTACGAACGCGCTTGCATTTGTCGGGCTGCCGGTGTGGATTGCGAACGCTCCTAGTGACTATGCACAGGGATTGTTCATCGCGCATGCGATTGCGGACGAAACAATTTTGCCCAGCCGGGAAAGCTTGTTCTTGGAGCTAGAGGCCGAGGAGAAGGGGCTGGAGGTTCAGGGCATCGATCCTTTCCTCAACGGGCAGTACGTTATGTCCCTAACCTGCATATATACGTCATTTTCGCTTACCCGTTTACTTCATGACTAGCAAATTTCAAGGTGAGACGAAGGCTACAGACTACCAGAACGCCTTTATCAGCTATCTCCGCGCGAACTCGAGCATCCCGTTACCCGACTTCCTCGCCGACGGCCATGACTATGTGGAGCCTTGGCGCAAGAATTCTAGAGAAGACACGTTCTTGCTACGGAAGGGCTGGTTGAGGGCGGAAGAGCTAGGTATACAGGACAAGTTCCTTGAAGGCGCCGTCACTGAGGAGGATTGGGTGAATGTGATGGTGCATCTCAAGGACTGGGAGTTGAAGCACGAGGAGGCAGAGCGGGGTGAGGCAGAGCCTTTCAAGGTGGTAGACCTACCGATGTAAATGTGAATATTAGACTGTGTCATTCGGAGAGGCACTGCCTTGCACCTTGTTTGTATATGCCACTAGGTTGTATAACGTTCTTCACGACTTCCACTTCCCGATCCCAATATTGCGATGATCTTTGGGTCCCAAGTTACTTTATGTTATATCATTGCCACTAGAAGTACATTCACTGATCATTCAATGTTCGTCCCTTGTTCTCACCTGTTTCCATGCATCGTTATGAACACCGCGAGTCCTGCCTCGAGCGGTTCTCTCGTCGGGTCCAAGTTCGGACGTCAAAGCCTCGACATCGTCTGCACCCAAAGTAAGGTACCATGCTGCTGGAAAGACAGAAAACATACCCTTATAGACCTGGCCGAATAATTCGGACTGCTCTGCGTCGCGGTCTTCGCGAGCAGGGTTTCTACCGGTAGGCCGGTTGTCCGCGCCGCGAGGAGAGACGCTGACTAGCTCGGGATCGGTAATACCTTGGTAGCTGGCGTTGTCTAGGCGAGTGTCTGCTCGGGGGTTGTATGTCTGTCGGTCGACGGCGGGGTCGTTGGAGGACTGGTTGTATGGGCCAGACATTTTAATAAAGTTGACTTGGAGGGAGACTTTCTGATGAAGTGTCCAGACAATAGTTAAGCTTTATACCAAGACCTATGGTGGCGGGGAAACAAAACAGATTACATTGACCAGACGTCAGTAGCGTCACTGACCCGCTCATTGGCCCAACTCTACTCCGATCGTTCTTGCCGTATTTGGAAAGGTGCTTTCCCATTTGGGACAGACTCTGGTGGCCGGGTATTGCCGGCTGTAACAAGATTCTCTCAGGCGAACTTACCTACAAGCTGCATGCAAATCAAGTCGGCTCTCTGATATACTCGTTAGCAGTACTAGTTACGAAAGAGTTTAGAGCATATCGACGTCGTCATGATAGCGAAGGTCCTCCACGCAGACCGATTTTCGGACGTCACGATGGTCGTTTAAGATGCCATAATTGAAATTCAAATGCACCACAAATTTGCCAGCAATATTTGCTCTTGGCCTCGCTTGTAGCTCCATGGTCCTGGTTTCAGAATACCCAGTTGTAATGAATTGCGTCACGTTCGAGTGGAGATTGAGTAATCTGAAGCTACATAACACCGCTCGACGGGACATCAAGGACTCACAATATTCACTTCTGACCTACATTGCATACCTACTCACTTCACTTCTTCGTAACTGCTCACTATCACATTAATGGCCTTTCAAGGTGGTTTCCAATCTGACCCTAGCCGTGTCGTTGCTGGCCAGTCTGTATTTTTCACTCTCCCTATCTGCAGTCGAAGTCCCTCATGAGGCTTCAGGCCGCGATCAAGAACCCGAACGTCTCCAACGAAGCCAAGGAGCGCTCTCAGCATATCTTCGAGGACATGGAAAGCCAGCCTGAGGAGGTCCACTACCCTATGAAGGATGAGAAGTCCGACACGCGTGTTAATGCAGGGTATAAGGCTACGATGAAGAGTAAGCATGACATGTTGTCCCGATGACCAGGATGGCGCTCACGAGGTTTTGTAAAGATCCGAATGTCAGCACGGAGGCGAAGGAGAATGCTGAGCAGATCCTGGAGGAGAGGGGCGCGATCTAATCGAATTGGGGCTGAAGTCAATACAAGGCGCTTGTAACAATATTGTACAATGGGCATATCTTGCGTTTGAAATCGGCATGTCTTGTCAAGTTGCAGCCCTGCGAAGGTATCACATCACGACCACTCCAATCAAGATATACTTGTGAATATGCAGGGACAAGATGCTACTTGATCCGTCGATCAAGTGAAGCTCCGTCGTCTATGATACTATGTGACCGCCCCAAATCAGTATCAAGATCTGAGAATATCAGTCAGTTCAACCACGTCTTCGGTTACTCGCCTTAATAGGCCGAGGACCCATGGTCTATCAGAGCAGTCGCAGGCGATACATCTGGGAGGTTGCTCGCTGCTCTGCACAATAACGATACTGGGTAATGAGCAGAATTTGGATTTACAGTAGGTGCACTGACCAGGAGTGCATTCACCACAAGCAGCGATCCATCACCCCAAATATTCCTCTTGCAATTTTGGGATTTTCGCCAAGTTCGCGAGAGTCGAGGACGCAA